GGTGGCCCCCCTCCAACCCCCCCCCCCCCCAGTTTCAAAAAGATTGGACCACATGTCCAATTCTGTGGCCCCAGAAGGAAGTGCCCCCATCTTCCATTGTTTCCAATGGGGGGAAAGGCCTTAGTGTGAGCAGAAGCTTGAAATTCCTAAGCTGGAGTTAAACTTTTGTGCACCAGCACCCCCTAAAACAGCTTAGAGAGAACTCTGGTCCTGAATATAGCCTAAGCAATTTGTCTGCTAATACAACAAGCATAACATTTAGAACAAAAGGAAATACTCTTAAATTACTTTAAAATGTAGGCCAACTTCACTATGATGTGCACTTTGGACACATCTGAAAATTGTATCCTAGAGATATCCATTAATTTGCAGCCATCTTTGTCCCACAAAATGGAAACCATACCACAAGTGACACATGTTTTCCTCAAATATAATACATTACTTATTTTAGATGCATTGTGTCCCATTTAAGCAATATCACAGAATTCACCTACTTGATTCTCCTTTGCATTTGCATCAGGTGAAAATTAGAGGGATGAATTTTTAGACTTTTTCATCTCTTTGTTGATATATTTTAGCATTCCACTAAGAGTGTGGAAGTCATTACTGTCACAAGTCACGTCTTCATCTACAGTATATGCCAAGGGATCAAATGAAGATTCACTTGGGCTTTTTTCTGAAGCAAAAGTTGTATCTTTTAGGCTTTTACAAGGCACTGAAGAGTCTAATACTAGTATCTCTTTAAGGTGTAAAAAATCCCCATCATCTTTTATATATAGATCACTAGCACTTGTAGAGCGACGCAATTTTCTGTGTTTATCACAGGAGATATGAGAGAGCTCAGAAAAGTTCACTTCTTTATCATCAGACCACAGGTGAGGAGTTATCTCCTTTAGGACTGATAATTGTTTGATGCCTTCTGTTCTTTCATGACCTGCAATTCTAGTTTGTAGTCGTGTAACTTCAGATTCCTGAAAAAACAAATAATGTATATTAAATTATTAAATTATATTCTGCTGATGAAAACTACTATGGGGAAAAGACGGTAATAAGGAAAAACAATTCACAAAATTAATATCGTTGGGATGGGAAGGGTGAATTGGGTGTTGTGAGGCCTGTCTGGCTGACAAACAGGCACAGGAAGCCTACCTCATTTGGGCTGTTTCTCCTCCTGCCAGAAACCCATAATCCTTACAGAAGGAGAGATCGAAGAGACACACCACATAATGCTACCTGAAAATCCCTCTTTAGCCCCTGACCAGTCTCTATCTTCCCTTTAGCCCCATAGCCAGAATTTTGTGGCTTGTGGGGCAAAAATTTTTTGGGTGGGGCTGGTGGGACTAAAGTGGAGGATTGAGGCAGGCGTCCCTGAATAGGCACCCCGAGTGTACGTGAGGGAACAAAATCATGGAGGGGGTGAGCCAGCGTGAGTGCAGTCTGTTGTTGTCACCCTCCCTCCTTCCCTCACTCATCAAGGCTCAAAAAGAGGCTGGCACTAAGGAGGAACAAAGCTAGGCGGAACCTCATAGCATCTTCTCGGCTCCTCACCAGCTTCAAACTCTTGCTTGATGGTCCCGCCTGGAACGACAGCCGGAACCTGGGCAATGGCTATGGGGAGAGACACGGAGCAAGCATTGCCTTGTGGGAATGAAAAATAAGCCTCTGTAGAGCAGGGAAAAGAGGGCGGGCTCCCAACTGGGCATGTTGGTGACTCCGTAATGGAGAATAGGAGTTAAGGGAAGGCACCCTCAGCCCGAGGAATTTAGTGTGAAACTGGATTTCTTTTGTGTAACCCTGCCTTTCCCCCTCACAAGGACGCTTTACAGCCTCCTCCCAGTTGCCTCTGCTTCTTTATGCAAGAAGAAAGCACAACTGGAGGGACTTTAGTCCATGTGACTGCATAAGGATTTAAGTTTTACAGCCTTTACAACATTTACTCTTAAGTAAATCTCGCTGAGCTTAGTGGACATAATACTACAATTGCCACGTTAATGCTGACAGCATGTTTCAAACACCCAACACTCTCATGTGTAAATGCTAAGAGGAGTCACAAGTCTACAACAGCAGCAGTAACTTCCTGGTATCACACATAGCTTTTTGCGGCAGTGCACACCAGCTGACATCTGTGAGGTTAGTTACAGTCTTTTAAAAAATGAAAAAACATTTTCAGAAGGAAATCTTGTGGGGCTGGCCTTTTAAGGAAGGGGATGGGTGCCCCAGTAGCCCCACTGTAGCAACGGGCTAGCTTCCCCCCTTGCCTTTAAACTCAAAGTACATTCTTCATTGTGGTAGGAAGATGATGTGCATTAGTGGCTCTTCCAGACTATCATGTTAATGCAAAATAAATATACTGTTCTTACTTCATTATTAGAGAACCAACCATCTGTCCCCAATTACTGTGTCTGTTGTAAAGAGATCATATTCCCTCAGCACTCTAAGAGAACAACGCTATGCATGTGTAAGTCCCATTGATTAAAATGGGCTTACTCCCAGGAAAATAAAGCAAAGTTTGAGTCCAGTGGCACCATTAAGACCAACAAAATTTAATTCTGGGTATAAGCTTTTGAACACTTCTTCCTATACACTGCAAAAAGAGTTCCTCAACCATTACGTGTAGGTAGAGGGAGGTCAGTTGCCAGGAAGGGCTAATTAGAGTCAAGATGCATAAGTAATTGAGCCGTTAGTATAGCTAAATTGGATTAAAGCAATCTTAGCCCTGGGAGTTCCATTGTCCTGAGAGTTGTAATAATGTGTAAATCAGCAATCTCCCATTCCAGTACATTTCTGAAATTCCTTTGCAATAAAACAGCTACTTTGAGGTCCCCCACTGACTGAGTGCCCTGAGAGGCTGAAATGTTCTCCTGCAGGTTTCTCAGTTTTGTGATTCTTGATGTCAGATTTGTATCCATTTATAGCTTCCCCCCTTGCCTTTAAACTCAAAGTACATTCTTCATTGTGGTAGGAAGATGATGTGCATTAATGGCTCTTCCAGACTATCATGTTAATGTAAAATAAATATACCGTTCTTACTTCATTATCAGAGAACCAACCATCTGTCCCCAATAACTGTGTCTGTTGTAAAGAGATCACATTCCCTCAGCACTCTAAGAGAACAACGCTATGCATGTGTAAGTCCCATTGATTAAAATGGGCTTACTCCCAGGAAAATAAAGCAAAGTTTGAGTCCAGTGGCACCATTAAGACCAACAAAATTTAATTCTGGGTATAAGCTTTTGAACACTTCTTCCTATACACTGCAAAAAGAGTTCCTCAACCATTACGTGTAGGTAGAGGGAGGTCAGTTGCCAGGAAGGGCTAATTAGAGTCAAGATGCATAAGTAATTGAGCCGTTAGTATAGCTAAATTGGATTAAAGCAACCTTAGCCCTAGGAGTTCCATTGTCCTGAGAGTTGTAATAATGTGTAAATCAGCAATCTCTCATTCCAGTACATTTCTGAAATTCCTTTGCAATAAAACAGCTACTTTGAGGTCCCCCACTGACTGAGTGCCCTGAGAGGCTGAAATGTTCTCCTGCAGGTTTCTCAGTTTTGTGATTCTTGATGTCAGATTTGTATCCATTTATCCTTTGGCGTACGGTTTGACCTGTTTGCCTTACGTAGAGAACTGAAGGGCATTGTTGGTATTTAATGGCATATACAGTGTTAGAAGATGAGCAAGTAAATATAGGGATGGGAATGAATCCAAAAAAAGCGGTTTGGTTTGGGATTTGGGGAGGCTCCCAAACTGAACCCCGAACCAACCCAAAAGGGCCACACCCAAACCGAGCCAGTATGGCGAGTACAGTTCCCCCTTTCTCCCAGCTGCAATGAGTTGCCACTGGGAGAAAGGGGGTGAGAACCACCCTGGAAGGGACTCCCTTCCACCTTTCTCCCAGCTGTGGCTCACCGGAGCCAGAAGAAAGGGGGGAACACCCAGGAAGGATTGAATGGCTGTCAGCCATTTAATCCATTGGTTTCGCTTCCCCCCACTTCAAAAGGGGGGGAGCTAAACTGAGAGGTTTAATGGCTCAAAGCTATTTAAATCAAATAGTTGACCAGGGCCCTTTAAGGTCATCAGTTTTGTTTACTCCCACTTCTAAGGGGGAGGAAACTGAGGGGTTTAATGGCTTGCAGCCACTTCACCCTTCAGTTTTGCTCCCCCCCTTCAAAGGGGGGCAAAACCGAAGGGTGAAATGGCTGCAAGCCATCCATATAAACCTAACAGCTGACTGGTGGACAAATCTGGACCTTTCTTTCTTTGAACTTATGTCATTATACCATTATCATTTCTAGAATGCCAGTTTGGTGTAGTGGTTAAGTGTGCGGACTCTAATCTGGGAGAACTGGGTTTGATTCCCCACTCCTCCACTTGCACCTGGCTGGATGACCTTGGGCAAGCCATAGTTCTGACATAGCTGTTCTTGAAAAAGAGCAGTTTCTGTCAGAGCTCTCTCAGCCCCACCTACCTCACAGGCACTGTTCCCTCTAAGCTGAGTTAGTGTGAGCTAGCTCACAGTTTTTTAGCTTCTAGCTCACACATTTTTCTCTTAGCTCAGGGAGGATGGCTCCAGAGCGAACTAATTTATGCAGTAGCCAAATCCCTCACTCACAACTTTAATGCCAGTAGCTCACAAAGTAGAATTTTTGCTCAGAAGACTACTTGTGGGGAGGGGAAGGGAAAGGAGTTTGTAAGCCGCTCTGAGACTCCCTTGGGTAGTGAAGGGCGGGGTATAAATCCAATCTCTTCTTCTTTTTTTTCCTTCTTCTAGAATCTGGAAGCTTCTGGCCTGTGCTTTGGTACCCCTTGTGGTGAGACACTTTCAGTTACAGAAACAGCAGGAACAGGGGTACTATTGTCATTCCAGCATGAACACACTTTCTCTGCAAACCATGCTCACTGACTTGATACAAATACCTCCATATCAGGCCTGGGTCTGGAAAAGCACTTGTTATCATCACTATAATTGGTTGGCTTCTGTATGTCAAACTCTGGAAGTGTCTCTTTTTTAAAAGTCAGGTAGGTTGATTATGAGATATGTATATGATACTGCATATGCTAAATATGGCTGGCCACATCACTTTTAAGCCTAATTATAAAATTTCTTTCACTGCCACAAAGGACTACAACCCTTTCTACAAAGAATAACCCCCAAGAATTATAAATGAAAGATCACTTACAGCCTGGGGTAGTCTACAACATTAACACAGCAAGACAGGTTTTTATACTCTGTTAGGTCCAAAGAAATTCTAGCATTACTACCCCATGAGCTGCATCCCACATTGCATACCCCATGAGCTGCATCCCACATTGTTTTCAAGGATCCCCTGACCTTCTGGATAAAATCTCTGAGTGGTATAGGGGGCTGCAGAAGGCAGAGGGAGGTCAGACAGGTCAGTTCTGCAAGTGAAATATGTGAATCCAACACACTATGTTCAGTGTGTTTACTGGGGAGATATGTGAGTAAGACATGGAATGGTGGCAGCAATGTTGCTCTAGAATGTCTAGTTAGGACCTTTAGCTAACAATATGGATATAAACCTAATTTATATTCTTCCTTTCATTAGGAAAGCAGGAGTATTACATCAAATGTCAGATGAAAGTTTCATGTTATTAAGTTCTAGCTTCACAGCTTGCATGTCAAGTATGAACTTCTGTGTTAACTTACTTTGAGAAGCAGGGCTTCATTTGCTGCTTGAACCAGCATATTTCTAGACTCAAGTTGCTGTTGCAGATTACAGACGGTGTCTTGGGCATCTTCTAGCTCCAGATTCAACTGCTTCAGTTGCTCATTAAGATGATGAGATTTAGATACCTGAAACTCTGTAGACTGCTGCCATTTTGTCCGCTCTGTTTCGTGTATTAGTTTCTAAAGGTTCCAAGGGATATGAAATTATAATCAAAACCTCATTAATTTTCTCTTTGATCTTAAATTCTTTACTCCTATAAATGTAGTCATGGCACCATCAACCTTATTATTGTTAGTACCCCCATTAAACAGATCTAAATTATAGAATTGTTTGAATAACTTTATTGACTTTAAGAAATGAAGTGTTGTGTCTTTAAGACAAAACTTATGCCTGCTAATATTGTGTAACTTCTTAAAATGTTAATGTTAATCTGTCTCAAGGAAACAGAGATGATTAATTTTAATTTATGATAGTCTAATATAACTTTTTCCCCATCTGCAATCTTAGAAACAAAAGGAGAAAACCCCTGTGGGCAGCTTCCAAAAGCCCTAAGAAAATATGAGTTGTTCTCTTATGCAGAACAATGGATCATAAATGTATAAAAGGTGATCGAGTTTTTACCTCTGATTTATACAATTCCTTTAGTGAGTGCACTTCTGCTGAGAGCCTCTTAACCTCTGCCTGCATTCTTGCTTCTAATTGAGCTTCCCGGGCCTGAGCTGCCCCCAGTTCTTCTGCCAAATAATTTGCACGAGCTTCCTGAAAGATTATTCAACAAAGAATATCACTTGTCCTTTTATTATGGCATTTTACCATGGAGATTTATTTTAAAAAAGAAAGAAAACAAACACAAAACGAAAAATTAACAAGGGCAATGGATATGGTTTTCATTTCAGTATTTGACCAATATGCTCCAAGCAAGTTTTTACCACAGTGCCACAAAGAACAGCCATCAATTTCCCCAAAGCAAAGTGAATACTTCTAAGGGCTTTTCCAAACAAAAGAAAACCTTGAACAAAAATCTTTTGCTATTAAGACCGGTTTACTCCCTTCCACTGGAAAAGGATGATATCGCTGGGATATGGACAGTTTTAGTAAATAGATGGCCAACCTTGCCCTCATGATCCTCATTTTTGATTTAGAACATGGTGATATTTATTTCTGCTGTAGAAGAGGCTGACCCACAATTTGGCCAGGGACCTGAGGGAACGTCTTTCCCCATATGTTCCCCAGAGAGCACTGCGATCGGGGACCCAGAATCGGCTGGTCCTCCTGAACATCAAGGAGGCCAGACTTGCTTCAATGAGGGCTACGGCTTTTTCGGTGGCGGCTCCACTCTGGTGGAATGAGCTCCCGGAGGAGATCAGGGCCCTGAGGGACCTGTTACAGTTCCGCAGGGCTTGTAAAACGGAGCTCTTCCGCCAGGCCTTTGGAGCCGCCACCACCAATCTTAGTAAAACAAGGGCGGGGAATTCACTCAGGTTGCTTTGAAAAGGATCAATAAGACCTGTCAAAGTAGTAGGGAAAATTTAATATAGAAGCTGCACATAGGCCTCAGTAATCTCTGTGCACATTGAGAGGCAGCTAAGTATAAACCCTGTGAAAGGGAACATTGGAATTCTACCACTGGAAACTTCCGTCTTCAACAAGAGGGGTACTGTCCACAGGAATAATAGAGCGGTCAAGACACAGAACTTCCAAGCAAAAGACATGTATTATGAGTCATCAAATCTGGGCCTATCATAGGCGTCTCTTCAGGTGCTGCACTGAAGATATAAGAACAATTTGAGATCACATAATCTTTCCAGTCCATGGGGGGGATGTAACAGAGCACCTCAAATCTGCCTTATAGTGGATCGGACCATTGGTTCATCAAGGTCAGTACTGTCCACTCAGACTGGCAGTAGCTCTCTAAGGTGTCAGGCAGAGAAAGATCTTTTACATCACCTACTGCCAGACCAATAACTGGAGGACCAGAGATTAAATTTAGGACCTTCAGCTTGCCAAGCAGATGCTCTTCCACTGAGCCATAGATCCTCCCCATTTATCACTAAATGGAATGATACAATCAATTGGAGACCGGTAGCCCTCATATAGAGGAGAGGATGGCAAACTGTTGGATCTAAGTCCACCAACTGACATAGGTGCACACAGAATTGCAGGAAGCCTGGTGGACAAAACAGCAGAGGTGAAAGGATCTTGATCACCAGAGACTTTGTCAGTAGGAGATGTCAAGGATGGAACTTGGCCTCTTGTACATGGACAAAAGGTATGCAGAACCCTGAGACATCATGTTAAGTGAAGGCGGGAAAGAAACGTGACTCAGGGATCCAAAAACAAGCCTGTTATTGCCTCCAGAATGTTGTCCAACTGGACAGCAGAATTCGCAGCCTCTGCAAGGAGGTCATTTACTTTAATGCTTTGTTTTCTTTTTCGCTTATTTATTTGTTTATATTATAGCATGAACTAGAGTAGGGTAACATGAGTGATCCAAATTAAAGGGACAGATTTATCATGCAGATCACATAGGCCGTGAGCCACGGTGCATTAAGATACGTTCAAGTAGAATAGCATAAAGGTCATAGTGACCTGTTGATTTATAACTAACAAGAGGGGGACCCGCGATACTCGCGGGGGAGGGGGAGAAGAGCTCCGTCTCCTCCATCCCTCCCCCTCAATCTCCCCGAGGCTGCGGCGGCGAGGCCGGTCCTCCACCCCCCACCCCGCCCGGCTCCGACCTGGCCG